TTTTTAAAAAATTATAAAAAAGCACTTGACTTTGATAAGAGTTTTTACAAAATACTTTTCGTCAAATAATTTCTAATAATCAGATTTGCAAATTGCAAATTTTAATTTTCAATATTTAAGAATAAAAATAAAAATAAATTTATATTATAAATTTAACGCAAACGCCAATAAATTAGATATAAAAAAAAAATGGAAATATTGATCAGAACAAAAGTTATATAAATCGTTAGGTCTTCATGTCCTCCCAGTATATATTAGTTTGTTGGTATAGGACATAGGTACGTACACACCGCAAACGACGTATGCGATGTGCCCATTCAACATTCAACACATGTGATATATTATTACATCAAAGATTTACGTGCATACTCCTACGTAAATGCAGGTATAATATAAATATTRTGTATGGCCGTATGGGTAATAGATATCTATTAAATAGCGACTCACCGGGACACCAGCTACCAGTGACCGTCAATTATCATCTTATTATATTACCTAAACGGCAAACAACATAATATACACAAAAACACCTAACCACCTTGTCTGATATTATTTAATTATGATTAAACTGATTTCATGTGGGGTTTTATCGAGATTCCACTGTTTTAATACTAATTCTACTAAACATGTTTTGCTAATGTTGACATAAATCAGCCGGTTATCAATTCCGTGTTTATTATTGTGGGTTGTGGCACACTTTTTATTGACACATCACCATTTAATATTTAAAAGAGTCAAAGTAAAAACATAMACTTTATTATAAAATTTGCAAATTTTGTAGAAAACTAATGACAATTTCAAAATTAATTTTTTCTTGGCATAACATAAAACGCACACAAGATTATAATGTCGTAAATTTCGAGTACATTTAAAAATTTAATAGTAGTATTAAAATATGAGAACTGAGAACATATTGGAMAATTTAAGACTATAATCGATAAGACTKATGCTATTTTATATCCGAAAGTTCCAATGTACGTGTAAGACATTATTTTTTAATAAACTTATATAGGTAGATATTAAATTATTAAGATTAATTTGAAATGAATCCGCTGCAATACACCGAACATATACGTGATAATTTATATTACAGTTTYAGAATTATTTAAATGTTCAGTAATTTTGTTAGTATAAATAGTATGATACTTAGATAATAATTTGTTTTTAGTTTTATTAAATAGAATACGAAATTTAATACATTTTAGCTATTGCTTTTAAGTARGCATTACGTGTCGTTRATTTATGTGAAATATATTTATTAGTATCGAGTATTAGGTATAATGTCTTAATATATTATAGTATTAGTGAGATATCAACTAGTGATTGAAGGTGCTATTTAAATATTTTATATAAAATATGTTTTCGACCCATAAAGATGAAGTAAGGGGGTACAATTTATATGAAATTAACTTACATTTTATATTGTATCGCATTATATTTAATGCTATATAACTGATCTATTTATATTTATTCGCATTTATTTTAATTAATAAATATATATATATATATATATATTGTGTCTTTCTTAATCGCTTGCCAAAACGATTCAAAAAGATCATCGTATAGTTTCRCGTTAACGGAATTCAATACAATATATACACACAAACATGCATGCATATACGTGTTTTTCTATATGCTCCAGTGGTTCCGATTAGTTAGCGAAAGCAGTCTATAGACTTTCTTGTGTATGCGTGTGTTGAACAGATAAACCGGATAATAATAATATAAGTCTCTAACCGAACGACGTCTTGCGCAGTAATTATATTAAACCACTTTCTTTCCGGTCGCACCCGAAATACAGACAAACACTGTACTTCGCGTATATCTATAATACTCACAATTTCACTGTAAAACGTCGTCACCGTAGTCCGGTCAAACCACCAGGAGACCAATACCTTTCCGATCGAGTTCTCTGTTCGTTAATCATATTACCTATAAATAATATGTTGCAATCTGAGATTGAGGCTTTCACTTAGAAGTCTGAACAGCATCATCATAGCCAATAAATCTGAAACGAAACTCATCTCTCCATACTTGACGTTATACTCCCCTTCGCGGTTAGCTGTCTATTGATGGTGAGAGCGAATGCGTAATCCAGTCAAAACGTCGTCATCGGTGGGTGCTATAGCACACGGTAACCACTATATTTAAAATATTTTAAGGTATCAATTCTAAGTGATTTCCGTTTTTAATGCGATCCTTGATTGATCTGATGGTGCAGACCAAAAGTGTTCGCAAGGAGGTACTTAAACTTTTTATCGAAGTAGCTCTTCAAAGAATCCGCTTATAGGTAGTTTTTAATGCTATATTTTCAAAAGATTTTTTTGTTCACCAGACTAGGTCTCAGAGACAGATRCCGGATTCAAACTAGTAAATATTTCATTTGGAAACAAAAACTTTTCATTTTATAGAACTTGCTAAAAATTAAGAAATGATTCCTTAGAAATTCCAATAYTGTAAAAAAAAAAATAGTAATAACTATATTGTATATATTATGATATTAATGTACATGCTATTAAATATAGTAGATGTMTCTTTCTTGATAATTCGCTGTAGTTGTTCTTCGACGACAGACTATTAGTGAGGATTTGATTTGAATAAATAGTTTATTAAAATGAATTTGAACTTTTGTAATATAAAAACTTTAGTTGACAATCCGAAGAAAAGGGTAGATACATTATCAATCGTCTACAAATTCCAGATTAAAATCCCAGTTTGTAATATGATTAAAAATAAAATAATCCAGAAAACATTCTTAAAATATAACAGTCATATATTGATAATTGATCGTCCTTCTCATAATTATTCACCGCTGTTTCAGGATCTTAACCTTGTTTCATTGGYTGATCGTAAACATATTACTGCTAACCTAATTTTTTTGATTAAATTATTTGATTGGCAAATTGAATCKCCTCACTTACTTTCTTAAATTCCTTTTAAAGTCATTGTATGTTGGTTTACCAGTCAATATAACATTGTTCTTTTTAACTTTGTTATACTTTTTTAACTAATTATAATTTAAATGAATCACTACAGCATTGTATGCAAGTTTAATTTTACACTTTATTTTTGATATGATGTTAATAAATAATAATTTAATATGTTAACTAAATGTAAAAATTGTGTCGTTTGACATTATGCCTTATGTTCGTATAATATTAATATATTAAAAATAAATTAAATTATGCATATTATATGTTTGTACTTGAAAAATTCCTGAGATAAAATTTTAATTCATGTCAAGAAAATAAATTAAAATTTGTTTATATTTTTCAGATGAAAGTAGTGCTAACTCTTTTAGCGCTCGTGACTGCTTTGGAGCTGGTGCTAGGCGTACCGATTTATGGTCMACCGCAACCATTGCCGATTTCGCACAAGTACAGATCTCCAAATGGTGCACCCATCCCCGCCAAGTATYCTCCTCATCCTAGTAGTCACTCAGGAAAAAACGAATTTTATACGAAATTTAATCCTCATTCACTACCACCGGGCTTACGCGGACCCGCACCACAACCACCACCGCCTTTTGCTAAATATCCTCATCTGCCACCACCCGGCAAACATCAACAGCAGTACCAACAACAAAACCAACACCAACAACAAAACCAACACCAACAACAACACCATCACCAACAACAACATCATTATCATCAACAACAACAGCAACAGCAGCAGCAACAACAACAACAACAGCAACATCAACAACAACTACAACACCCAACTAACAGCTTAAGACCGATAGGACCAGAGTTCCAATCGAAACCACACTTACTGCAAAATGGAGCTCCTCATAACTCTCCTCAACAAGGTCAAATTAATAGCGGACTTGAGCAGCGAGTACAAACAGTACCATCGCGGCCCACTCCTAAGATAACCAACGTCTGGACCGGACCAAAATTATCTGGATTACCCGATTTTCCGCCACGTTTCTCTTCTGCTTCCAATTCTATAGCACCAGCGACTACGGCTCCATTTATCGAAAACCCMAGGACACCTTACATAATCAATAGCGACGACGAGAGGGGTCCTATCAAAACTATACCGGCACCGAATCTAAATCCAGCAGACAAACCAGCCAACTTCGATGAACAATTGTACAGGGCGCAACACCAACAATCGTACGTTCAACCGTTGGACAATTCGATAACCGATGAGAAACTTTCGTACCAGGTATTAATAAGTATATAAAATCTTTAATGGATTTGAATAATTTATTAAAAATATTAATCGATACATTTACCTACTTAATAAATAGAATAAATTACTAAAGGTAGTATTATAGTACTATAAACATGATGGCTATATCTTATAGCAGCATATAGTAAATATTAATATGTATAATATAATATATAATACAYCTCGAGAAGGCCACAAAAATTAAATTAAATTAAACTGCAAATCTAGACGTGATGGCGATAATGTATGCGGTCAGGTCACCATATAATTACAAGTTTTCTATTAGTTTAGAATGTATTCGATACTCGTTAAATATTGATGTA